TCGCTCGAGCTCGCAGAGTTCAGCGGTGGTCGAGAAAGCCTGCTAAAGACACCGCTCGAGCTCGTGGAGTTCAGCGGTGGTCGAGAAAGCCTGTTGGAGACATCGTTCGAGCTCGCGGAGCACGGCGGTGATCGAGATAGGGCGAAAGCCTATTGAAAATGTTGCTCGACAGTGGTCGAGATAGGGCGAAAGCCTGTTGAATACGTTGCTCGAGCTCGCGGAGCTCGGCAGTGGCCAAATTTAGGGCGAAAGTCTGTTGGAGACATCGTTCGAGCTCGCGGAGCACGACGGTGATCGAGATAGGGCGAAAGCCTATTGAAAATGTTGCTCGACAGTGGTCGAGATAGGGCGAAAGCCTGTTGAATACGTTGCTCGAGCTCGCGGAGCTCGACAGTGGCCAAGTTTAGGGCAAAAGCCTGTTGGAGACGTCGTTCGAGCTTGTGGAGCTCGGTGGTGGTCGAGATAGGGCGAAAGCCTATTAAAGACGTCGCTCGAGCTCGCGGAGCTCGGCAGAGTCCAATTCGAACGATTACTGAGCCTATCTTAGCCCGGCATGAATTTAAACTCGTCGCCGCATTAGGGCAGGATAGTCGTTGTGTTTATAAGCTCAGAAGTATCGTTGTGCTCGGCAGTATTATTTGTGTTTATAAGCTCATCAGTATCGTTGTGTTTATGAGATCGACAGCGGGTCCTCAGAAACGTTGCCAAATTCAGGGCGAAAGTCTGTCGTGGCGTTGCTCAAGTTCTCGGAGCCCGGCAGCGGGTCCTTTTATTTGTATCTAGATCAAGGGAAATTAGCCCATCGTAGCGGTGCCCGAGCTTGTAGAGCTCGGGAGGCCATAAATATGGGAGTCATTGTAACAACTCGAGCAGATTGTGTGAATGTCAAGCGTTTTAACGTGGCAGAACATCGAGCATATTATTTTGGGGGCCACAAAGGCAATGAAAGTGCAAAGTTAGCCCACGAGCCATAGTTGCATGCAGATGGCTGCGGAACTCCGACATGGTAGACTATAGGGGCTAGATGAGCCCAGTACCCCCACGTTGTAGTCTTACGATATACACTTGGGCGAGACATGATTGTTCTACTCTTAGACAAGTCTCATATCCATAAGCTTGTCTAGAGTGGGGGGGCTAGATGATGTAGCATGACAAAAAATTCGGTGGACCAGCCTGAGCGGTTAGCTCGGATAGGCCGGTCTAAGGAAGCTTAGAGCTGATTTACGTGATACACGGTATTAATTAAAGATATTCATAAAAGTTTGTGTATATCTACACAATTATGAGGAGTATAAGAATTCTTGTTTGTTAAGAAAACTCATTATCTTGGGGAGTAAGTCATTAAACCCCTTATAAATAAGGGACCAGGTTTATTTTCTAATGACATGCTCTTGAGATTACGTAAGATACACGATTAAAATATTCATGTTCTGACTTGAGCGTCGGAGTGTCTACGCCGGGGCCCGACCCCGGTGCTTTGCAGGTTGATCCGGTTCTGGAAGAAGAAGGCGATCGAGATGTACAAACTCTCATGCAACTGAGATGAGGCGGTTCGACCGGCAACCTCGGTGAGTCAATTATCTTGGCACATCACAATCGGTGAAGAAGAAGAAAAAGGCGGTGAAGTTTTCATAGACGACAAGGATGAAAACTGGAGATCAAATAATTCATTATTCTCGGAACTTGTGTTATTGATTGATACTCATTCTTCTTTTGTGTGTATTTTTAATTCATTATTTGGTAGTTTGTGTTGATACTATACTCGTTTGATCTGTATTGAACTTTTTATATATTTGGTTCTTTCACTATACTAGTTGGATTATGTAGAAACTTTGTGTTTTGTTTGTTCTAGTGAATTTTATGGCTTGTTGTCTTAGATTACGAGTGCTTTAATCACTTGTAAGCTCAATTTTTATTATTCGGATTGTTTATTTTTGTTGAGTGATATGAGTTAATTAATTGTTGTTTGAGATGTGTGTGCGATATGTCATGACACATCAAACAACATCTGAAGTATGTTTTTTAATGTTTAATGAATGAAAACACAAAACTCTGCTAAGTGGTAACACGATGTATAGAATCTGACACACGTCCGATGCTGGAAGGTCGGAAGGAGAAATGTTAGATGCTTTGAATAGAAACCTCGGTAATTGGCGGCAAGTCAAACTTTTATTTGACAATATGGGTATTTGGTACCTAAAATTTTGACAATAGATTATAGATATGCATATTTTCAAACTACATACAATATCATATTGTTTAGTATTAATATTTATTTTTTGTTACAAGAGAAAATATGAAAGTCTTTTGTTACAGAAGTATATGACTAAGTCTATACACTATTAATGGTTAACCAGTCTTACGCAATGATTTGTACTAGAG